AAGGATTATTCTTCTGGATTTAAAAATATAATTTTAAAGCGCTAAGTTAAACGTAATATATGTATTCATAATTTTATGGTTGTAAGTTTATATTTTAATACATTGTTATTGTTTATATTATTGTTTTATTTTCTTTGTTATATTTAAATTTTCGTTAAACATATTTAAATGTATTAATTATATAATTTTTAATTTAGCACAAATTTTGACAACTCACAATATTTAAAAAATAGAGATAAGCATTTTAATTAAAATTTTCCTATAATGAATGCTTATTATTATTATTATTATTATTATTATAATAATATTATTATTATTATTATTATTATTATTATTATTATTATATAGGACAATCAAAACATGCTAGAGCATATTTCTTTATTTGACTAATAAAAAAATTAACTAGATATAAGTTGAATTCATAAGAATTTAATGCATTTTAATTTTTATCCTATATATATTACAATATATTTTTGCATATTTTCTCTTTAAACGATTTAGATAAATTGTTATAAAAAAATTTTATGATGTTACAAAGATTCAAGTACTAGTAATTTAAGACTACACTATCGTTCATATATACACGCAACGCTATTTTTGTAAGTGTGAAATGCGGAACTTAATCCCAAAATACTAAAAATATTAGATACGCTCCTGAGATATGCACAACAGGCGAGCGCTCGCGGATGCCCGTGCTCAATTTCAGCGTTTTGCCGACCCCTGTCTTACTTCATAATCACTTATATTTATTCAGTCACTAAGAAAATGTTGCAATATGAAAAATGAAAAATAATAATACGTTATTATGTTTAGATATACTGTAAAGTAGTTTTTATAGAGAAAGTAAAAAATTGACTATAAATTTACTATAAATGTAATTCTTTATGAAGGAATATATCAAAATTAAATATGAGTGTATTCAAAATATATATTCTATTATATTACTTATTGTTATTTACAAATTAAAGTCAAATTACAACAGATTATCTACTTATCATTAAAAATATTTAAGTTTGGACTGACTCTTTATCTGTTACTAGTTTAAATTAGCAAATCGTCATCTTATAATCGTCCCTTCTTTCCCCTACTTGGAAATATAGAAGGTTGTATTTCGACAGGCTTATGACGATTGCAAAGAGTGTATATTTTGTACAAAAATCACAAATCCATATTTTTCGTAATTAATATTATTTTAATAATAAGTATAAAAAATTAATATACAATTTTAATAATAACTTAATAATTTCATCCTTCATTATCTAAGAATTTGTTTGAGAATTTCAATGGTATAACATAAAAATATAACATAATAATAAATATTGTAAGACCAGAAATATTAATTCATAAAAATATTTATATCTTATAAATTTAAAAAATAAGCATAGCAAAAGATCAGTACAATAATAGATTCAATATTTATTTTATAAGAAAATCTATAATAAAGATCGTAATCCAAAATTTTATTTGAAATATTTTCATAATTTAATAAGAAAAATTGTCCTTGCGATTTCTACATGCTTTCCGCTTACAAGATTTTTAAAATATATCACTGTATGTAATACATATGGCAAATAAATTCGTATCATGGAATCGAAGTGAAAGGACAAAGTCAGTCACGAAAAAGTCTGAAAATCATACAGCGAAAGTAGAACTGCGCCGACGCATAGACACATATAATCTACAATTAAAAATACTTTACAAAAAATTTGAAGTGTATATACTACATGTAAATACATACACATACAATCTCGTATTATATAATCTTATGTAGAAATTAATATAAATCAGTATGCATATATGCACACACACACACACACACACACACACACACACACACACGCGCGCGCGCGCGCGCGCGCGCGCGCGCGCGCGCGCGTACACACAAAATCATAAATTACACAATTTTGATTAATTTAATCAAACAATTATCAAGTTCAAATTTTTTAAGTTCAATTCAACTTAAAATATATTTATGTTTAAATAAATATTAAAATTTATATAAAACTGTTTAATTATATTCGTTTTTGGTCACAGACATTTAAAGCGTTATAGAATTCATTAAATATGTCAAAATACGCTACAATACATAAAATGAAAAAGCCAAAGAAAAAAACATAAACATGTATTCAAATATTTCATTCAATAACATTTAATATTACTCTAAGATAATTTATTTTAGATAAACAAATAATGTAGCAATATTTCAATAATACAATATTTCACAATCTTACTTAACTATCTTTTAGAATCGATATTTCTTTCTCTAATTATGGATTATTTAACCAAAATTTAGAATCAATTTTTCCATAATTAAATTATTCAAAAAACTTCAGTAGTTTCCAAGTTATAATTTATTTATTAAATTATAATATGAATGACTAATATTTCACAAAGGATTTTTCGAAAAAAATACGAATGTAAATACAGTAGTAAAAAATTTCGTAGTTCTTATTTACTTTCAAGGAAACTTTAATAAATACATATGATTAATTACAAAAACAAATTTAATATTAAAAGACAGAAAACTTTTATTTAATATAAATATACAATTAATTATTCTCCTTGATATTTTTGCAAAACAAATTAAATCTCTAAATTAATCAAAGAATCCACACGTAAAAAAGTTCACAAATTTCAAAACAAATAATTTGAATCATAATTTTAATTTTTTAGAAATATCAATTTCCAAAAAAAAAAAGAAATAAAAAGTAAAAAAAATAATATAATTTTTTCAATTAGAAAAATACAAAAAAACGAAAACGAAATTGGATTATAACACAAAGTTCATTTTCTAAAATCGTTGCAATATTCATGTACACATACATACGTACATACGTGCGCGCGCCGCGCGCGCGCGCGCGTGTGTGTGTGTGTTGTGTTGTGTGTGTGTGTGTGCGCGCGCGCGCGCGCGCGGCGTGCTTGCACGCGCGCATATAATGTTCAATAAAATAATTTATGATTAAAAATTCCAGATTATTTTAATATTTCAAATTTATAAATTTTCATTTATAATTTATCAACTTTCTTCACTCAGTCATGTTTTCTATCATTGCCCTGAATTATACTTACTTATATTATTTATTTATTGATATAAGCGAGTAGAGATTGCTTATTATTTGCTTAAGTGACTAGGGGAGTCACCTGAGGGGAAATGTGTTTAATCCGTTACATGAATGCTGTTTTAGAGATACCTTGATTCAAGATACTTAGATTCACGAATTACATAAAATTTAATTGTTCAATTTTGAAATTTTATTTTACACAAGCTAAGAATAATTATTCATTAACATTCCGAATTTTTTATTTTTTATAATACAAATAATATTTTAGTCAGCAATCTATTTTTTATTCACTAAGTATATATGTCATTTGAATTTGTAATGGCAAATTAATTAAAAATTAGATTTTTTATTAGTCGTGGAACTTTAGAACTTATACAGAACATTATTGAAGATAATATTAATATTAGATTAGCATTATATAATATTAGATTAATATTAGAATATAGCAATAGACTAACAGTTGCAAATACATATTAGATATTAGACTTATTTAAAAAAAAGAATTTAAAAGATAAGTATCAAATAATAAATCAAATTATAAATCAATATATCTATTGTAAAAGATGAATCATCAGTAAGGAAACATAAATACATAAACATAATAAAAAACACAAGACAATTTTATCACATATCAATCTTATAGAATAATCTCATTATTAAAGATTCAATCACCAATAAAAATCATCATTTTATCTCAATGAATAAAATAAATTCTTATTTTATATTTTCAGATTTTTGTACACGATCTCAAAGAGAAATATTTCGATATTTTTAATAATAATCAAAACGCACATTGGCATTATTACAATAATTGATTGATTTGCAATAGAACATTAAGCAATCTCTGATACGTACGTGTGTCTGGCTCATTCCCTTCTGGTGTGATTACAATTTCTAGGCTGATTACAATTGCAATGAGTACAAATTAATATGAAATCGTATCGGATAAGGCGAACGATAAAATAAAGTAGATTTTCGTTATATTAAAAATAATTTTCAATAAAATACACTCGATAAAAAAGAAGACAGTGCAAGAAGTGAACGGTGTTTGTAAACTCGGTTATTTGAATGTGTTTTACACGTAATCAATATTAATTGAAAGTACGACCAGACCAGAGCGCGACATGAGCGTCGCGACAGTAATCGGTGCCGCTATAAAAGCAGCTACTGTCCTCCTTGGCGTCAGCATCGGCAAAATAACTATAATCCCGGTACTCATTGCCACGCTCGCATATTTCAATTACGATCTCATGGATCCAGAAAATCATCCGCGTGTGACAAAGCAATTGAGAGAAGACTACGACATAATAATAGTCGGAGGTGGTTCAGCAGGCAGTGTGCTCGCCAATCGATTGACTGAGAATCCTGAATGGAACGTGCTCTTATTGGAAGCCGGAGGTCACGAAACTGAAATAACCGACGTACCGATACTCTCATTGTATTTGCACAAGAGTAAAGTCGATTGGAAGTATCGCACACAGCCACAGAATTCGGCATGTCTGGCAATGGTCGATCATCGATGCTGTTGGACCAGAGGCAAGGTATGTAGAAAAAAATAGCCAAGCTTTAAGAGCGTATAAAAATATCAAGATCACAAATGATAAAGTAAAAGCTATATATATTTTTTGTAGATATTTTATACTTAGTAAAAAAGTATGCCCGAGAAGGAAAATTTGTCCGAAATTTCAGATATTTTATAAAAAACCTTCACTCTTATGACAATAATTTGTATGACCTAACACATCAAAAGACATGGTAGTATCTTGCGCAAAACACAGCAAGTATATTTATAAGAGTAGAACCGACGAGTTATAAGTATCTGAAATTATCGGATCTTAGAAATAACTGGCTTGATCTACCTTCTAATAATCAATAGTTTATTACTTCAAAACTTCAAACTTTCCAGCCAAGAAGTGAATCTGGTTTACAAACATTTCCTTATCCTTATTCATCCTTCCGTATTCTAATTTATCCAATCTTATTCTACCTTATTCTATCTTATTCTATCTCAAATATACAATTATCACATTGTATAATATCACCACCTCTTCTATCTATTTACTTATCCTATTATTATACAATATCTGCAGTTTATTGTTTATCACATTTTCTACCAATCCTACATTCCTGTATCATATCTATTATATATTTCTTTTATCCATCATTTTTATCTTTTACTTTTTCTTTTCTAATTATATTTAATATATTTCTTTCTTGCCACAACTTCCTCAATACATTACGTTTCACCTCATATAATATGTCACTTCATATTCTTTTCCATCTTTTCTCTACGTTATTCCCTAACACATCTATTAAGCTGGCACAACCACTTTTATTATTAGGTAGTCGAGATATTAGGTAGTCGGGAGTGGTTCTCAAGGATTGAGGATGGAACAATAAAATCGGGAATTGAGCAACAAATTAGCAACAAATTCGCGCTAAAAGAATATGTCATATTTTTTTATATTTTTTATTTTTTTAATTATGCCTTTAATCTAAACTTTAATCTAAACTTAAATTAGCACAACCATGTTTTCTCCAAATCGGCTGAAGCAACAAAATCGGGAATTGAGCAACAAATTAGCAACAAAATAGCACAAAATTCCTGTGTTAATTTTATACGATTGTGCTAAAGTGGCTATGCCGTAATAGACGTTTCCCTAATTCTTCAAATCATCCTTTACTATTCTGACACGATTCCATATTATATCAGATCCATATAATATCAATCTGTAGTGATAAATATATTATCAATCGTCGATCTTTCTCTTCTGAATCCTGTCTGACTCTTTATCAATATCTCCTTATCTTTCTATCTCTCCAGTCTTTTTCTTAAAATTTCAGCATAAATCTTGTATGCCGAGCATAATAATAAAATTCCTCTATAATTATTTGTTTTTTATTTTCTCTCTTGTGTAAGTATCACGATATTCATTTTTCGATACCTCGATATGTTTTCTTCCTTTCACTTGTTTTAACTCCTCCTTTCTTTTTACTCTTTCTCCTCCAAATTTCCATGCCATTGGAATTCCATCTACTCCGCACGCAAGATCAAATATTTAATAGCACGGTGATTTATTAGATTTTTAGATGCAAATAAAACTGATAAAATAATGCATATAAAAGTTATGTTGAAAAATCAAATTAACTAATGAATTCGTTCGCTAGACCGAACGATGTTGCTGTACTTTGCGCAATATTCACAGTCGATTAAATAATACTTGTATTATTCTTGGAGGTTCTTGGGGGATCCAGCGTATTAAATACAATGCTCTATATTCGCGGAAATAGACGCGACTTTGATGAGTGGAAGAATCTCGGAAATCCTAATTGGGGCTACGAAGATGTTTTACCATATTTTTTAAAGTCTCAAGATCAAAGAAATCCTTATTTAGCACGCAATACAAAATATCATAGTACAGGTTCGTACGCTTTGTTACCTTCGTACATGCATGCATGCGTGCGTGCGTGCGTATTGTGTGTGTGTTGTTGTGTTTGTGTGCGTGTGTAATAAAACATAACATCTTTATTATTTCACATTTCCCACAACTTTTCAGGAGGATATTTAACCGTGCAGGATAACCCTTATGTCACTCCATTGGGCGTAGCGTTTCTTCAGGCAGGTGAGGAGATGGGTTACGACATTCGTGATGTTAATGGTGAGCAGCAAACTGGTTTTGCGCTCTTTCAGTTTACAATGCGACGGGGCGCTCGATGCAGTACTGCCAAAGCATTTGTGCGACCTATTCAGCTTAGAAAAAATTTTCATCTCTCTCTATGGAGCCATGTGACTCGAGTGCTGATAGACCCGCGGACTAAAAGGGCGTATGGGGTAGAATTCATTAAAGACGGTCGTAAACAGGTGGTGTTCGCCAAGAAAGAAGTGATTCTCTCAGCCGGTGCTATTAATAGTCCGCAGTTATTAATGCTCTCAGGGATAGGGCCGCGTATACATCTTGAACAATTGGGAATCCCCGTAATTCAAAATTTACCTGGAGTCGGACAGAACTTACAGGACCACATAGCAGTTGGGGGTCTTTCATTTCTAATCGATTATGAGATTAGTATAGTAATGAATCGAATGGTGAATTTAAACACGGCGCTGAGATATGCTATTACCGAGGACGGCCCCTTGACATCCAGCATTGGCCTCGAAGCAGTCGGCTTTATCTCCACCAAATATGCCAATCAAAGCGACGATTGGCCTGACATCGAGTTCATGTTGACATCCTCCGGACTCACCTCCGACGGTGGCACCCATGTAAAAAATGCTCATGGTTTAAGCGACGAATTTTATAATGAAGTGTATCGTAAAATCGACAATCACGATGTTTTCGGAGTGTTTCCGATGATCCTTAGGCCGAAATCACGCGGATATATTCGATTAAAATCCAACAAACCCTTGGATTATCCGCTGCTTTATCATAATTATCTGACTCATCCAGATGACGTGGCAGTGCTTCGCGAAGGGGTCAAAGCGGCTATCGCCTTTGGTGAGACCAGTAGTATGAGAAGATTTGGTTCGAGATTTTATAGCAAACCATTACCAAATTGCAAAGACATTCCATTGTTTACTGATGAGTATTGGGACTGCGTTATTAGGCAGTATACTATGACGATTTATCACATGAGTGGTACCGCCAAAATGGGCCCGTCCACTGATCCAATGGCAGTTGTGGATCCGGAGCTCAGAGTCTACGGAATTACGGGGCTACGAGTGATCGATGCATCCATCATGCCACTCATCACTAGTGGCAACATAAATGCACCTGTCATTATGATTGGCGAAAAAGGCGCCGATTTGATAAAAGCAAGATGGATGCAATTGCCTCGCTTCAAGAGAGACAATGTTACCACCGCTACTGCTTGAAACGTTTATCGATTGCATAATTGCATAATATATTATACGTACAGAGACGCACGGCTAATTGAGAGAGAAATCAAATAAGAGCTTTAATTGATAGCATTATGTACTTTCTACACAAAAATTAGTCTTAAATTTGAGATATGAATAGCTTACAGAAAGAAACTAAAAAGAAAACAAATTAAGAAAACAATGTTATTTGTATTTGTTCTTATATATATAAACTTTCCCATGTAGAATTTGTTTATAAAGCGCAAACATTTAGAAATTTATATTTTCTCAATATAATAACAATAAAACTTGTACTCGACTTGCTTCAAAAAGAAAGTGTTGTGCTCAGGAACATGATAAGAATATTTCTAAAAATTCAGCATTGACCTTCATATTAAAGAAGTTAGATTTTTGAGATATTCATTACAGTTAACATTTAACAAATTTATTAAATTTTCATATTCGCGTGGAAATTATCAAAAAGATGAGAAATTAGACATAAATGTTGCATACAAAATTTGCCATGATTGTGCCAGAAGTCATGTCATTACATATAATAAAAATGATGATAAATAAAATCTTTAAACAATGAATGTGTTTCATTTTTTAGACAAAAATCTTATTATAAATAAAATAATTTTAATCCTCTTATTAATCTTCTTTTAAACTGATTTCTTCGAAATAAATTATTCTAAAATATTTCAGATATTTAATTATTTTAGTATTAATTTGAGATTTTTTTTGATAAAGAAAATAAAAATTTCTTATTTGCAAAATTTCTTAAAACTGTCTTTAATAAATAAATGAATAATATATAATATAAAGAATATTATTTCTTTCTGAGCGGTAATACATATAATACCAG